CTCATTATGACCTGGAACAGGGATTACAATTCACCTCTTCCATAGCTTTCTAGCTGTAGAAATGTACAATAAACCTCTCTCTTGCTGCAATACAAAGGATGATACGTGTCAAATTATTTGGATAAGGTGAAGACACCGGGCCACAAAAGGAGACCTAGATTGAACAGTGATTAAAGCAGTGAGCATTACACCATGGCACACCACAACATAACAATACACTGTCTTTTGCTTGTAGAATTAGAAATAAATTAATGTACCTGAAATCTCCGCAGGTCCTTTTCATCGAAGCGTGCTTTCACACGCAACAGTGGGATTTAAGTCCTGGGAGGCAGGCGGGCAGCACAGAAAGTTTTGCTTGTACTTTAAGTGGGTTAAATATGAACACCAATTTGAGAAGTGATAACATGGTCTAACTCTAAAATATGTTGAAAAACAAAAAAAAATTATATAAATGGGGCTTGGCATTAAAATGACACATTTTATTAAATGTAATGTGCAAAATAAAAATAAGTAACCTCTATTCAAAAAAGGTACAAGACAAGTATTATTTAAAAGGTTTTAGTACTTATTTTCAATAAAAAGAAATCTGGTATTATAAAAATACATAAAATTGTCATGAATTTATGCCATTAATTTACATAAGATTTTTTTTTGCATAAAACAAAGTTATAAAATACTTTAAAAGGTATTTTTATATGAAAGTTACTCCCAGTATAAAATTTTTATAGCTTTTTGTAATTTGGGTTCATCTGTATAAATAAGACATTTTATCCTTTTAAAATTCATAGCTCCATTTAAAAACATAAGATTCTTTCTCTTTTAAATAAAAGTCCACTTGAGGTAGTATGTTAAAAGTTTTCTTTGGTCTCCTTCGGTCTATGTGTCCAAGTCATGAGACTGAAAATTTGGAGTCCTATAGTTTTCTAAAGTCTGTTTATAGGTACGTGTATGCTTTTCTTCCTGAAAATCTGTCCTTTCTCTCTCATCTTCTGAATCAGAGTCCAAGTCGTCCAGGGAAGAAGGAGTTTTTAAGGGAAAGGCTCTCGGCTGACAATCTGACAGTTGTCCAAAGCTTGTAAAGGCGTCTAAGTGAGATCTTCTCAGAGGCTTTCCAAATGTCCCTGAAAGGAAAAACAAAACAGAACAAAACTTTTTATCAACTGGGTCCTCTTGCTAGCATATACATCAACAAAGTCCAATGCATATAAAGAAGCGTTTGACTCCCCCCCGAACATGAGCAAGCCTTTCTGCAGCCCCCCATTATGGTACTCAGGTCTCTGTACTGGTGCTGCTGCACGTGCTGCAGAACCTGCACCCCTGTGATTTATGGCACCTAACTAAACGCACACACTTCATCACTTCCCACACCCTTCAGGAGTACGGACTGTTGGAAAAGGAAGCTCCTGAAGTTCTCCAGTGTAACTCTGTTGCTCCTTTCCACATTCTCTTTACAATTGTGGAATAATTCTCCAGGAACAGAGTTTGTATAATAAAACTCAAGTTAACTATACCTGAGTATAGAAAGTTTATTTCAGAATAATCCTGTCTTTGGTTCTTTCACTACAACAATCATACTCAGTGGATTCAAAGTCTCCCCCCCATCCTACCAAGCACATTTTTTTTTAAGGAAGAATCTAAGTGATTGTATTGTGACAAAACATAAAATTTCTTAAAAGCTTAGCAAAGTAATTTTCATTTTACTTTTTATTAAAAAGAAAAAAAAAAAAAAAAAAAACCAAGCCAGGTCATGGCCGTATACCCATATTGTTCCGTTCAATGAAACAAGGACCTGTGTGCTTCCCTTCCATTGTTCCCATGCACTAGACCAAAAACCCCACGGTCTAATCTCAGTGCCAGCCTGTGCCTAACACTACCCACTTGGCCTTCCAGGCTCCGGCAGCCTCCTATGCCAAAGGTAGGGCTGCCTGTCTGAGTAAGCCGCGGTTGCTAGGTAGGATGTTGTTTTCCAGCCTTCCAGCCGCGGGTTCAGTTAGAAGCCACCAGACATACGAAACCACAACCATGCAGCACACACAACTCCACCCCAAAGGCTGCTAGAGCCCAAAACCACTTTTTCCACATGGCTGACAAGCTCAGATCCTAAGTCATTCCCCAAACTCTTGTCTTCTAGATGCCACACACGGAGTTACCCAGAAGGCTCCTGTGGCTTAGTTATAGATTGACTATATAATCCAGTAAAATCCCTACCTCAGACTTGGCATTTAGAGGCATTTATATTAACCAGTAGAGTATCACAGTGATGCGTTAAGAAAAAAACTTTTTTCACCAGTTTTATATTCAAAGCTGTTGCTGCTGCTCCACACAGAGCTTACGGCATGCATCTGGAAAGAAGGTACCTAATAACTTAATAAACTTACCCATGAAAGGGTTAGTTGAAGTAACTGGTGCTGGTTCCAGACCTGAACTAAAATCGGAAGAGTTCTTATTTAGATACAGATTTTTCGTCAGAGGTCCTTCGTTTGGACAGTAACTGGAGCTCCCGAGCTTCTTCACATGGGCAGGCCACCCCAGGCCACTGAGGCTCCGCTCACAGGACTCCTCTGTGGGGTGCGAACGTGGGTAGCAACCCTTTTTCTTTACGTAATTGGGCTCATAGTGATCCACTAACGCTGTCCTTGGGTCAGTGCTGCAACCTTTTAAATTTGAGAATCGTATCAGAAAAAAAGAGTAGCAGTGAGCATTTCTCTAAGTCTCTCTAGGAAACAGAATAGAATCAGGTAAGAAATCAGGCCTGTCACATACCTGTATGATAGGCTTCAAAGGGATCGGGGCCATACACGCCCCCCTTCAAATACACAGGGCCTGAGGAACCCAAAAAGGGACAGAGGAATGGATCTGTGGCAGCTTCCACATCGGCTTCACTGCTGTTGTCAATATTGCAGGCTCCTTTAAAACACAAATCTGAGTCAGTGAATGTACATTATTTAAGTACTATTCAAGTTGCCTCTTAGCATTTCCTATATTTATAGGTGAATATTTGGCAAGAATATAGTACAAAAGAAAAAAAAACTGTGGAAGTTTATAGGCTTTTCCTGTCAACTCATGTAGTAGCGATTGAGCAAATTTGGGACGGTTCATCCAAAGAGGTCTTGTTTAACCACTAAGCTGGGAGTGTCAGCCGCACTGTTGGCTCCATCTGGTTGCTAAGGGAAACAGATCTGTGTGCGGACCTTGCAGCTGAAGCAGCCAAAGCTCCAACCACAACTCTTGGCACTGCTTCCTTCCTATGAAATGTCACAGATGACCAGAATGAGGGACTGGCACATGATCGATGACTTGTCAATTCCCGGCTCAAAGATGAGCTCAGAAAAAATTAAATAAAATCATTTCATGGGTTATTAAATTAAACCACACAGAAAGGATACACCCATTAATAGTGGACACAGCAGTCCGAGGATAAGTGGTGTCTTTAAAGGTTAAGGATGTCTTGCTGGACCATGTGCTTGGGAGGCAGAAAGTGATTGGTCAGAGGGTGGGTGGTAGTCCAAGAGAGAAACAGACTCAGCCATGCCAGAGGCCTGCAGAGTTGTTTTAGGAGCAGATCCTTCTCTGGACCCAGTGCCAAGGCCATTTGCCACTACCATGTCCCAGTCCCAGCCCTTTAGGTTTACACAAAACCCCAATACATTTCATTGAGGTTGGGTCTCTGTTCTTTGCCACAGAGTGAGTCCAAACAGAACGCTATTGCTACGTCATCTGTCACTACCTTGCCAACTAGTTCGCAATTGTTTTGTAATAGTTTATCTCACCCATATCTAACCCATGAAACTGAAAACAAATACGTTCCCCACCCCACCCCCAATTCTGAAGTCTGGCACAGAGCAAATAATACAGGCTTGTGATAAAAGATGGTAAAATGTTTGAAAACAACATCAACAGTGTCCACTGCTTGAGTGCTTGGCATGTGGCAAGCACTGTGTAATTTTTCCTTTTGAGTTCATCTTCATAACCACCTACCCAGGAAGCACGGGGAATGGCCGAGGCTCATGGGAACAGTTTCAGCCCAAGCCTGCTCTTGCATTATGCTGCTTCTATCCCTATCTGCAAATCCATGCAGCACCTAAAGCAAGTGGTAGAATTCAATTTCTCTACCAGAATCACTTTAAGTCACTTGTGTTTTAAGACTATGCATAGAGTTACTTACATAACAGATATCATTTAAGGAAGAAGGACAGCCCAGGCAAGAAGCATTCATAATACATAGAAAATCTTACATTTTATGAAGAAATTCAATTTTATTTTCACATCATTGTTTTCTTTTATTGTCAGAAACAAACAAAAATATTTTTTTTCTGTTATTTAAAAGAATAGGTATCTATGTGATTTCGGCTTCTTTAGTGATCTTGGGCCAGGTCCTAAATATTAATGCATCAATTTCTGGTCAAAATTGGTCTTACATTGGAATATTTTATCATATGATTCTAAAACAAAATATAGCCCAATAATGTATTTGGTTGTTAAAGGGTCTCACTATGCAGTGAGGACTCACAGTGAGCTTCCTGTTTTAGCTTCTTCAGCACTGGGATTACAGGTGTACACCATTACGCTTAGACTCTGTGGTCTGTTCAGCCTGCCCTGGGGGTGCTGGGATTGAACTGCGGTCCCTGGGGATCAAACCGCAGTCCCTGCGTCCCTGCGCTTGCCTAAGCAGGTGCTTTAGTCCACTGAGCTATCTTGTCAGCCCCTTCCCCCAAATGTCATTCATTTTAAACACTTACCAGTACTTTCATGTTGTGGCAGGAAAAACCCGCCTCCCGAAGCAGTGACGAACTGGTGGTGGCTTCCACTTTCTGAGGAGACATACCCATCCTGCCTGTCAGCTAATGTCCCCTGAGATGACAGATAACTAGGGATATCCGCTGGCAAGTTGGTTTCATCTGCAAATGAATAACAGCATTCTCTCAATCAAGAATGGCAGGCACTGTCCCTATCTTCCCAAATAAGCAGCATGAATTGATTTCTGTACTAGTCATATAAGGGAAGATATTCTACAGCAAGGCCATCCTGGTATCAGTGTTCAGGAAGATCAATCAGGGCTTTGAAGTACGGGCTTATATTCTACATCATCATGCACCCAATTTCAGGTCCACCACCCAAATTTCAGAAGCAAATGCTTAAAAGAGGAGATCAGATGTGCTGAATGTGGTATGGCCACAGACATGTTTAAAAAGACAAACAACTTCTGACATTGCCAGTCTTATGGATAACCCACTACTACTATGGCCCATTGGACTATATTGGATTATTTTGCTGAATTCACACACCTACAATATTTGAATGGCAATGGAATACCCATCTCTGGCAAAACTAAACAAAAAAGAGGGATATGAATGAAGGGCCATTTTGTAGTGAAAAAAATATATAAATATATCTATATATATACAAAACAGGATATACAGCTACTTTCTCTTAGTTCAATGAGAAGATTTATACTAATAGTGTTTAGACAAGATATCATGTCTGCATCTTGTACTCTGAATAACTACTATGAAGACAATAATATACAATGTATTAATTATTGTAACTGTCCTACTGACCTGTTTTGAAACTGTCTCATTATTATTTCTTTCTCAATAAAAATAAAATTTTAAAAAAAGATAAAGGCTCCAGAATTTTGATAGATTAATACCTATGCCCTTAAGCAGGATGCAGTGATTGATTAAGTCACAGCCCCCACCTTCACACGTAAATGAAGTCCCCTCTAGAGAAATTTTTCACTGGACACTGCCACATAGTCACTGCTGAGTTACCTTGTGACTCAAGAGCTACTCCTTGTTCCCCTCCATGAACGAGCAAGACTACTTCACCCTGTTATTTGGACTTTATCTAGCAGCCAACAGGACAGCTGATGAGGTTTTAACAAAACGTATTAACCTTTAAGCATCAGCTTCATTTCAGGCTGGAGTGTTATTTTTAGCCAACCCTATTCCTGCAGCTTGAAACAAGTGAGTCACCCTTCTGAGATGGGCTCAGCCTACGAGACGCACATTCCTGAAGAAGCTGACTGCAGAACCACAAATACACGACTGCTGCACACCGTGCCAAGCTTCTGTTTACACACCTGTGTTGGTAATGCTGCAATCCTCATTCCTCCGCCTTGTGTGGTATATGATGACCACCCACACGAGCGACGTGCCCACCACACAGCACACCACGGCTATGATCACGACTCCCACAGTGGCCCAGCCGTCATCATCTAATGATGGGGCAGTCATTTGGGGAGAGTCGCAGGTAGGAGTGGGGATCACACTGAGGCGCACATTGCCTCTCTCTGTGCCGAGAGTGTTGGACATTTCACATGTGTATTTCCCAGCGTCACTGACATCCGAGTCCACGATGATCAGCAGCTGATTGCCAGCTGCAAAGAAGTGCCTTTCAGTCACCACCAAAGGGCTGTCGTCCTTGGTCCAGTTCAGCCTCGGGGGAGGGCTCCCTCCAGCAATGCACTGTAGGACGGCTGTTTCTCCCTTGGTAACAGTTCGGTCTAACAGAGGCCGCAAGAAGGATGGGGTTTCTGAAATGAGAAGTTATGCTTTTAATTTCCTCATTGCAATCTCGTCTCCATATCATAAGATTAGCACTCGCATTTACTCAAACTGCAGCCTCCAATTTTAGGCTCTCAGAACCTTCTGGTCATGCTTCTTCAGTGCCTGAAAACAACAGAGCCTTCAGGATTTCATCCTTCTACTGCCTTTTAGTCCTAACAGTAGGCATAACAGCTAGTATTTCTTATCTCAACTCTTACCTCACACTCAGGTTAGGGAACTGGTGGTAGAGGATAAAAGACTTTTAAAAACAGAAAACCTTCAACATAGTTGTGCAAATCTGTAATCCCAGTGCTCTGGGAAGCTAACGCAGGAGGATCACAAGTTTGAGCCCTGCCAGGGCAACTTAATGCGTTAGTGAGACTCTGCTACAAAATCAAACCAACCAAAACAAAACCAAACCAAACACACAAGGCAGAAAATGTATAAAATAATTCCAACCACAAGAGTGTGTTCGTGGATGGAAAAGATAAGAATGCTTGCTTTTATTTATTTATTTTTTTTAATCTGTTATGGTACAATGATGAGAGAAGAAGTAAATGGTTGGACCAGTTTTTGTTTTGGTTTGGTTCTTTGCGCCCCGCTGGGATGGCTCCCGGGGACTCACACTCAACAGGCAGGGCCTCTACTGCTAAGCCGCAGCCCCAACCTCTAAATGCCGAGCCTTCTAAAGGGAGACTTTTTAGTGCCAAGTCTATATTAACATTCTGAAACTAATCTACTTTCCTTATTTGGGATCTCAGTAGGTTCTTGCAACTCTCTCATAAACACATGAATGATAAACGTGTTCACAAGTTTAAAGAGTACTTATTTATGTAAAATATGAAGAAGAACTCCTGTCTAGGGTGGTGTGGAAGTGTGAGACCCGCAAGTCCTCGACATGGTCACTCATTTGCCTTCTTACAGGTTCTTAATAGCTTCAGGATCGTGAACACTGCATGACCTTCAGAGCAGAGGAGGCTGGGCCCCACAGAAAGGAAAGCCATCAAAGCTGCTGCGTTACCCTCTCCTTGAAATGTGGGGCAGATTTACCTCCCAGGCTGCAGACCTGACGGTATAACATGCTCTACCTTCGGACGAGATCAGGCGCATTCGGGCTGGTATGGCCACAGATGGCTCCCTGACTTTAAAGCTTCTAAGACACCATTTGTTCTCTCTAGGAAAGGGCTGTGCTCTACAAATCTTAGCGTTCCCACCCCCATCCTCAGGGCTCCTTTAGCCCTGAGAGCCTTTAAATGACTCAGTATTTTTAAGACCAACTTCTTCTAGCAAGTCTTAAGAAATCCTCTTACCTAGCACAGTCAGAGTCGCATTTGCAGAAATGCTTCCTGCACTGTTCTGAGCTGTGCAGCTGTAGACTCCAATGTCTTCTATCTTCACGTCCACAATGAAGAACACGTCATCCTCAGGCATCACGTGCATACGTCTCTCCCTTGCGGCTGGGAAGTCTGTACCCCCATCCTTTTGCCAGGCTATCTGCGGGGCTGGGTGTCCTGTGGCAGCGCACTCCAAGCGCGCCATGGCCCCAGCGCGAATGGTCAGGTCCATTGGGGTCTTGGTGAATGAGGGAAGCACTAAAATCACACAAGCCATAAGGCTCATGTCCTATGGCATTTTAAGAGTCATCTGGATCCCTCCCCTCACCCTATCACCTTTAATTTAAAAGTATTTACAAATGTCCCTGGCAAAGGAGAAGCTATTTCTGATTTCAATACATCGACTCTAAATTTGAAATGAGAAGATGAATTAACTCTTCTAAGGTTACATAGGTATAGAAATGAGAGAGGATTACACACAAGACATCTGATCCTCAGACTGAAAATCATCCTGCTATCTTCTGGCCACTTTTCAGTTTACCCAATAATTATCTGTGATCTCTTTGGCAAATCAATCAGTCTCTTTGTTCCCTGATCATTCACTGTAATTTTTTTCTAAGTCCCTTCCAGAGGCTCTAATGTTCCATGGATTCAATAAGTGTTCAGTCTTATAATTTAAGCTCAAAACTCTTCAGTGTGCCAGTCCTCAGTAATCACTGGCTGAGATACAAAGAACTGAGTCTTAATTTCATAGAGCGAGAGGTGAACAAAGAAGACCAGGTTGGGAGGCTATGAGAAGCACAGAGTTAGGAATGGGATAGCAACAGGGACAGAGACAGCGACAGACAGAGACAGACAGAGACAGAGATAGACAAGAGACAGAAAGAACTAATGTTTTCTGCTTCTACAAGTCAACCCAAAATGCAAAAAGAAAAGGGGGATTACGTACTATTAACTGTGAGCTTGGCTTTGACCGAGTAGGATGAACCAAAGTGATTGGAGATGACACACTGGTATTTCCCTTCACTAGCAAATTCCACATTGTGCAGCCGCAGAATGGTGGTGTACTCCATCACCTCGCCGCCCTGGGCCCGGAGGTGTGCGTAATTTTCCATTTCAGCATCATGCAGGAGCTCATTGTCTTTTTTCCAAGCAAAAGTCATTGGGGAATCACTGCTGCTGGCAGCTGAGCAGATAAAACTCAAATTGGAGCCTTTTATTGCTGACTGTGTTTCTGGCTGAACCGTGATCTGGGGTTTGGGAAAATCATCTGTTCGGAATGGAGAAGAGGAAAGAGAACAGCATGAAGGTTTGGGGGTCCAAGTGCTGCTCACAGGGGAGCACTGAGGAATGAAAAGCAAACAGTGCGAATGGTCTGGCCTGCGGCTTACAGAACCCTGAGCATCCCAGTGCTGAGAGGATGCCCAGCGAGGGGGTCTGGAAGTCACCTGCTCATGCGGGTAGAGACAGCCATCTATTTATCCCGTCACAGTTACCCAAGAGAAGACTCTTCATTTGAAACCATCAGAAAACTCATAGTTCATTCGAGAAATCTTGCACTTTCTATTAGTACAAAATGGCAGTCAAGAAACTACAAGGGGAGACAAACAATATATAAACCCTGGTAATCCATCAGGATAACTGGTTGACAGTAATTAAGTGATTATTTCAAAAGTACCAGTACCAAGGGGTACAGCAGCGCACGCCTGTAATCCAGCATTCAGCAACCTGAGCTGGGAAGACTGTAGATTTAAGGCTGGACTGGGCAACTCATCAAGAGCCAGTCTCAGAGAGGGAGAGCGAGTGAGTAAGTGAGGGGAGGATTTCTAACATTCTCAATACAAGAAATGCCGCATGTCTGAAGTGATGAATGGTCCATGTACCCTGATCGGATCCTTACACACGGCAGTCATGCCCTACAGAATCTCCTGCAGCCCGTAAATACGATGTACAATCACTATGTGTTTATTAAAAATTACAAAGACTTTTTGAGAAGAAAGCAAGCAGTTAAATTGCCAGGCTCATGGGTCATCTCTGAGTGCTACTACCAGAAACTGCAATTCTCCCATCGGCTCCACAAATAATGAATAACAAAATTCAGGAAGTAAACATCAATCATAATAATCAGCATCACTAAAGACAGCAATTAATACCCCATTTAGCATAAGCAGAACCAATATAAAAATGTAGTAGAGTAAAAAAAAAAAATTCCCTAGTGAACAAAAAGCACTTCCAAGTCTCATGATGAGGCACTGGCTCTAGCCAGGAGTTTGAAGCAGCCAATCAATCATGTCGCTGTGCTGCCCTGTCAAAGCTACATTATAATTACAGCTGAGCAACTCTTTCATTCCAAACAGTTATTTTTAGTTTTCTGTTACTTTTTGGAACAGCTCCCTCTTTTGAGAATTTCAGTTCCTCAGAGAGGTTCTAAACCCAGAGGGGACCGTCTCAGCTTGACCAGCATTTGCACTTGGGGGTGGGCTGGCATGTGAAGGAGCAAGAGAGTGGGTGGGGGGCTCCCCTGACACCCACACTGCTGCTAATTTTCAGTGTGGTGTCTGCAGGCTGATTAAGCAGGATAACCTCATCCAAAGTACCACTACGCTGAAATTCCCATCTGAAAAATCAACGTCCAGATTCAGATTCAAAAAAACAAATGGTAGAATATACAGTTACAGATGCACGCGTTTGTCTCAAAGGAAAAGGGGTTTCTAGATTGGAAGGAGAGAACTATGAAAGAGGGACCAGGGAAAGGGAACATCTCAGGCCTTTACTGATGGACGCCAAAAGCTTATTCGCATCCAAAAACTACATCAGGGGTTTTATTTCCAGAAACTGCTGGCACTATTTAATGCTGCGACCGAAAAAAGAAAATACTGTAGGCCAAGCCGTGTTGAGTATATTCTTGAATGGCAATGTAAAATGTGGTTCTGTAACACTTCACACACAGGCATACATTTTTATTTCATGTTTATATATACATTTATTTTTACAAAAGCCTCTCTGCTAACAGTGAACAATAAGATAGCATGGTAGGCAGCAAAGTGCGTCAGAGGTGGAAAGCTAACATTTTTCATCATGATCTGCTGCTCATTAGCTATGTGAAGTTCGGGTAAAAGGATTTCTTCTGCTGAAATTCTCGAGTGCTGAACAATAGACTCAAGAATGACTTACAACAGATTCCAATTTGCTGTTACTTATAGTGTAATGCTTTGCCCAACCAACAGCTTGTGTTTTGCAGCAGCCCATAAGTCCTTAGCTACTTAATTTTTTTTTCCTACAAGCTGTCAACAAGCCCTAGAGCTGAGGACAAAGCAAGTAAGAAAGGTCCAGGCTCTGGACCACCCTGAATACCATTATCGGGAACTGCAGTTGCTTTTCCCACCTTTCCCACAAATGAGGGGCAGCCAACCTCAGAAAACAGCATCAACCCTAAATATCAAAATCAACAAAAACAGCAATTAACACCCTAGCTACCAAAAAAAGAAAAGCCAACAAATATTAAAAGCAAGTAGCAGAACCTCTGCTTCACGGATGCAGAGACTGTAAGATTTTGGGAGTTTAAGTCAACTATCTTCTAGTTCTCCCAAGATCCAATTTCATTCTTTTTCCAACAAACCACTTGGATGCCAAAACAAAGAAGAAGAAATTTTAGAGAACTCTCTTTCTCCATCTGTAAAATTAGAACAATTACCAAACTATAGGTCCATTTTCATGATTTTCATGTATCTCAGCAGAAATAAAAGCAGTATTAAGAGAACACAAGAAATATCCAGGGCGATACTTATACTCACCACACACAAAGCCATCTGGGCTGATGGCAAAAATACTTCTTCCTTTTAGCAGCTGAGGATGGGCACAACTGGCATTCACAAAGCCCTGAAAGTTGTTCTCCGCCACCCACTGCGGGAGCCACTTCAGTTGGCAATCGCACAAAAGGCTTGATGTATTTAAATGCCTGAGGAGAGTAATTACATTCAATTTATTTTGTATGAAATGCAGATTTCCACAAGTAAACTAAAGTAAATATTAACAAAGCAATGAATTTAGAAATTGTTATAAATATTCCCGAGTCTGTTTAAATGCGAGTAATGTACCTGGCTTATTTAAAAAAAATTATTGTTGTTGTTCCTGTCTTACTGGGGCAGAAGAGCTAATATATCAAAATGCTCGGCCAGTAAAATGTTGCTGTTAGGTACCTTACTATACTTTTGACCCTACAGATTTAAATTGCAAATTCAAAACAGACAGAAAAAGAAACTCTAGACTGCAACAAATGGAACAAACAACCAATTTCTTTTGCTCTCTGGCATGAAAATTAGGTAAGGTTAAAACGTGCTAGACACTTTTTATGAACACATAATCTAGAATGGCACAGTACATGACAGCTTTCTCTTCTACTCTTCTTTGAAACTCTTAGAAAAGAAAAAAACTTACAGCTGTTGGAGCTTCTTCATTTGTGAGAATGCATTCCCTTGTAAAGACATAATAGCATTGTCACTTAGGTCTCTGAAAAACAGCCGAGGGAAACACATGAGAGACAATGATGGTCATTTGGGGTCTGTAGGCAAAGTCTGGGTCACACTGCCCATCCCATTCACCAAGCGGATGCTCGAAGTGCTGCACTGCACGAATGCAGCGGGCAGCTCCCGGAAGAATCTACCACAGCGCTTGGGTTCAGGCCACGGATGGTTGCCACAGAGACAGATTCTGTTGAGTGCCATTTTTTTCTTACCACCTAGAGGTTACTTGACTCCTAAGAGCCCAACATCTTCTGATATACCATTTCACGATATTTTTCAGTATTCAAATTAGTAACTACTATTTAACTTTTAAATGTGCAAATAAAATTTCTCACTTATACGTTTTTTGAAACAGCAATCACAGAACACTATGACATGCACTGTATTAAACAACATTGTCATCTATTCCTAAAGCTACCCAAAAGTTGATGGCATTATACATAGTTCATTCTGAAAGGGGAAAGGAAGAGTTTAATCAGTTCTAAAACTTACGCTTTTAACCACCATTATAATTCTTTTAACCACCAGTACAACTCACTAACACAAAAACGGTAAGATTTTCGGACAAGGCACAATTCCTCAAACAAACACTCTACATAGGACATTTTAAAAATAAAAGAATATTCTTGGCTGACTTCATTTCTATCCAGCATTTATAAGCAGCTTAAATTAAAATGCTATCCACAGTGATTGCTATTGTTTCTTTACAGAGGTCAAAATACACAGAAGAGATTTTTGAATTAGACAAGCAGCAACAAGAGACAAAGAAAGAAGATGCCAGACATGGGTAGGGAAAGAGGCTAGGCAAATAAAGGAAGGTTAAAGAAAAATGAAACAGAGGTTTATAGTCCACTGATCTACTAATTCCAGTTTCCCAGAAATGCAATGGGCCAGATGACAAACCCTCTGGCTAATTTTCCTTTGAAAATAATCTGGCCCACCCTTCCAAAATAGCTCTGCAGAATCATTCCATTGCAGTTTTTCCTGCTGTACTGTCAAGCCTGGGAATTCAAATCTCCCTAAAACTAATGGACGCAGTCAGAAGATGACTACAAGATGATTTATAGATAATGTTGAAATCTTCCCTCTCAATACAAAGCCCAAATGGGTGATCAAAGCATGTATTTTATATGATAACTTCTTTTGTCCAAAGTGAATAGATATTAAAACTTTGGCCATCAGCATTTAAGAGTCCAAGTAGACACATCTATTACATTGTAATTTTACTATACAAATATCAAATATCTACTAGTCGTTTGTTGGTTCAATTAGTCAAAACAATGTTCAGGCAAGTTGGGGCTTCTCCTGATGTCGGCTAGCTTTCCTCTCTCAGTGGGTGAACATCTTGAATCCCTCTCATTTCAGATATATGTGCCAGGAGTTTCTGATCAGGGGCAGTGATGGGTCTGGCAGGAGCTATAGTAATGCAGGAACTCAGTAAAGACAGAGGCAGCTCTGCCTTGAGTCCTATTTCTGCCAGTCTGCTGGGTCAGTAACTGCTGGTCAGAGAAAAAAAGAATGATGGTGGTGAAAACTGGTAGTGGGGACTGTGCATTTTATATTAAGCATCAGAGACAAAAATCCTCAATATAGTATTTAAACCCTCCAATGTCACCGTTACGGATTGGGAGGAGTGTCTTTTTCATCTGTAACAGCCAGGTCATTTTACCTGTCCACAATGAACCTGCAGAACCTCCGCCTAAGTTAAAAATAAAGGTGATATGACCTACTGAATTGCATGTTTGTAAGTGTCAATGAGAATTACCTGGTGCCATGTCTAACATGCAATAAATTCACAATATGTGGTAGGCTTTTTTAAAAAATTAAATACATCAGTCCTTCATAAGAAGAAAATCTAATAATGAACTACAGCAACTTACTTAAGTGTGTAAGTTAAACCTATACATATAAACTTTCATACGGATAGGTAGGTAGGAAAATAGGCAGATAGATATGTAGATAGATAAACACATATGTAAATATATTTCATGGTACCACCAGGTGAATGCCAATAAAATTACATTTCGGCTTGTTTTATCTTTCAGGACACATGACCAAATATCCATCTTAGCCTCCCTCTGGGGTAACTAAATTCCAGCTACTCACAGATGTTCTAAAGCATCCAAGCCAGTGAAGGCTTTTTTGGTAATAGATCGAATCCGGTTTCCCTGGAGTGTTCTAGAGGAAAAAAAAAAAAAATAATATACTGGAGTAATAACATACTAGAACAGTTAATTTAAAAGAAGTCATTGGGGGAAACATTCACAAAAGGAATTTTTTACAATACTATTTGCAAACAATTCTGTTTTCTCCAGTTCAACAATATATTTTGTAAAAATTTTGCAGGGCCACCTGCTTTTTCTTTCTTTCTTTCTTTTTTTTTTTTTTTTTTTCAGAATAGGGGATTGAACTCAGGCTCTTGCGCTTGCCAGGGAAACGCTTATTCTACTGAGCCATCTCCCCAGCCCTGGCCACCTACTTTTGATCACACAGTTCAACATAGTTTCCAAAGAATTTAATGAAGAACCTGACAAAAATGGCATGTATGAGCTATCCTGATTAGAACACTGTTCTCTGAAGTCTTTTTAGGAACAGACTGACAACGTACTTCGAGGGAAGTCCTTCTGCCAGACCAAGTATTAGAAGAGGTTTGCTCCTCCTCATCTCGGGACACCATCACAGCTTAAAATATAACACAGCCAGGTGCAAGGCCTTTCTAGAGCTAAATACAAAATGTTTTTACGTTATATTCTTGGAACCCACAGCAACATTATCAGTGGATCCTGGGTCGCTTCATTGCGCAGTGCCTGTGAGCAGCACGCAAAGCTGCAGCACCAAAATATTGGAGTCTGTAAGCGCATTCATGTAAACACAGTGATAATTGCCAAAATTGAGGCACTCAGCATAATTTAGTTCTTTTGTTCTTTTCGCGGTACCGGGAATCGAACTCAGGACCTTGCACTTGCCAGGCAAGTGCTTATTCTACTGAGCTATGTCCCCGGCCCTAAAAGTTCTCATTCAATTAAAATAAATGTATTTATACAAATGGAAGTGTTCAATCTGCTTCCTTTTATCCAAGAAGAAAAGCCAATTCATATGCCCATGTGGTATACAATAGCACTAACTTCGGGGAAGTAACAAAGGGTGGCAACCAGAATGATCACACGCCTACTTCTAATCTCATTATGAGGTCAATTTATGGAGTTGACTTCACTAACACAATAATCTTAAGTCAAAGAGTGAGCTCAATTATAAGGCAAATTATACTCACAGCCGTCTCAGTTTGTCAAGCCCAGAGAAAGCACCATTCATGTCTTCAATAGTCCATGAGATTTCATTATTTTTCAGATCCCTAATTTTTTTTAAAAAAACATTCTCTTTAGAGATATGGCTCAGAAACATAAGATCACCACCAAGGTGGCATGTCATACACTCTACTCTCCTCCCTTATCAGCATTTAAAGTTTCTGCCCCAAATCAAGACAGGTGATTCTATCCTTATTAATTCTTCTATCACGATGACTAAATTCTGAAGACTTGAACAGTTTGAAAAGTACATTAAACTTTAAAACTGTGGTTCTAACCACACAAGTGAAGAGTTCAACAAAGCATACCTCACGCCTTTCACTTACGTAATGCTCATGACACATCATGGAGCACAAACATCTGACAGTGCAAAAAAATCAAAAGCCCATTGCACAATCCATTCAACTGCCTTCTCTCACTTAGGATCAGGTGGTGACTATGACTGCCGCATAAACCAGGATCTTCTTCACTGCTTTTTGTATGTCTTTTTGCTCTAGCTATTTTTTAAATCTGTACTTTATAAAGAAAAATCAGTGGATTTAAAATTGTTTCCATTTAAGCAGTTAGTGACTTCCTGGAGATCCTGAGAAAGCTAAGAGGGATAATCATCCTGACAATCCGATCGCTGTCTTTTCCAAATCCGTTTAAGAAACACATATGGATGAAATGGATCCATTTTAATCAAACTGTTCTGGGAAAGATTAAGATGCTTACTTCTGAGTCTATACACATTTCCTTGACAACAAAGAAAGGCTGCTGGGAGAAAAGTGTGCACATTTAAGAACCAATGAGGTTCGTATACTAAGAGCCAAATGTGTAACTTACAAAGTCTTTAAACTGGAAAGCCCCCGGAAGGCACAATCAGCAATGTAGCTGACTTTGTTGTTCCCGATGTGCAGTGTGTTTAGGAAGCTCAGGCCAAGGAAGCTTGAATCATCTAACCTCGATAACTGGTTGAAAGTTAGGTCCCTATAAAGAAAAAAAGGAATTTAAAAAATAGCCTTTGCTCTTCCATTCAACACAACGGCTTATTTTCAAAAAGACAGGTAATACATGTAATTACCAGGATCTTTACTTTAGAAGTCTGCCTTAATAATATTTTGGTAAACATTATTTCTAATCTGAGTGATTTAAAAAAAAAAAAAAAAGATAACCATGACTCCTTTTGCCATGGACTGAACTATCAGAGTGGGCTTCAACTCATCACGACAGAAATATGTAAGGAGGCTTCTGATAAAAGCTGTCCCCTTGGAAACTTTGTTATGAAAATTTCACAGATCACTGGTAAGCGGCTCATGCTCTGACATGATCCCTGCTCGGGGATGTGAGGAGAATAAAAGGCAACTCACAGCTCGCTGAGTTTCTGGCAGAACTCCCAGGCGTCGGGACTGATCCTGTGGATGGAATTCTGGCTGAGGTGGAGCTCCTGCAGCATCAGCAAGCCGTACAGCCAGCCCTTGGTAATCTCCGTGAGGTTGTTATGGTCCAGCTGCCTACATTCACAATAAGAATCACAGGCAGGATCCAGAGTTCATTATCTAGTCTCTCCAAAGGGGACACATGACTACAACCTATTACACATTCCTATTGTTCCTAGATATTCAGCTTTTGTGATATGAAAACATCAGCAAAAGCAAAATACTACATAAAGTCTTGCATGTAAACTTTATATGGTTATAAATTCTCAATTAGGTTCCCGGAACATAAAACTTATTTATAACTAAATTATAAATGAGACTGTGTACTATGAGGTAAGCATATAACTTCAAATAAGAGATAATGGATGGTCATGGAGTATTCTATGATCACAAGACCTAGGTGGGAGCGACGGTAATCCACTTACAAGATTTCCATGTTGTTCAGTCCCCAAAAAGCTCCATCCATCAGCTTTGTTACCCCATTTTTTTGCATCTTCAGAGACTTCAGAGCACCAAGCCCTTGGAAGGTGAGTCCATCGACATTTCTAATCTTGTTTCTGTTCAGTTCGCTGCATTGTATATCACAATTAGTTAACCGATTTGACAATTAAATTCTAGAAGTAGCCATCAAATGTATCGTTACTGCAATTTATTTAATCTCATTGGTGTTCAATTATTTACAATATTTTAAAGTTTGAAACATTTTTACTGGGAAGAATTTCAGTCTGTTAACACTGAGTGAATTCCTCTCAAATGCATGAGGTATTTTCGGAATAACAGAATACTGAGAACAGGCTGCACTTTAATTTCTCAACCATTGCCCACTCGGACACAAGCAAACAAAGCAGTATCTGTGTTTACATGATCAGGGTGAGAACATTAAACATTGCACTAACGCATGAAATCCATGAAGAGCACAGCAATCAAGGGCATCCCACCCAATCTGCTCACAAAGTCAGTGACTCTTCCGTGATTCTGTTTTAGACCGAAGGCCTTCATACAGGCAGTAGCTCTCAACCTCGGCCACACACTGGAACAACCACCTGGGGAGTCTTAAACATTACGGAAACTGAGATCCTACCCCCCAGAGGGTTTAATGTAATTGGTCTAGGGCGTGGCCTGGGCGCTGGGAGTTTTAAAAGCTCCCCAAGTCTCTGTAATGTGCAGCCAAGGTTGAAAACCACTGCTGTGAGAGCCTGTTCACAGATCCTTCCACCATTATTAACAAGACAGTACTTTACAGCCACTTCAGCTATCAGAGCTTCCCAGAGCTGTTGGTATTCTTCTCATAAACCACAGCTGTTGAGAGCCCCTGTGATTTCCTCAGGATCACAGTGGCACCTTTGCAAGAGGCCACTCAACGATAACACTGCTGTAGCTCTTTTAGTAACAAGCTAACGTGTCTTGTCAGGCAGCAGCTGGCAGCTCTTTCTAATGAGGACAGTCTACAACTCCAGCTCTCAAAGGAAAGGCAGCTACATGCTTGTTTCTAAGCTTGTTTTGCCACATTGTGGACTTCAGTCTACAAACACCAAGAATTTGGAGGAGATGAGGACCTCTGACTCACAGGTGCTGCAGCTGGGACAGCTTGAACATTTTGGGTGGGATGGCTGAGATCCGGTTCCTGTTCAGCTTCAACACCAGGAGAGTATTGGCCAAGTTGTCAAAGTACCCAGGGTCCATGGATGTGACTCTGTTGTTGTTGATATACCTGTTGAAAGTTTGCAAATGAGCTGCTCTGTTTTGTTTTGTTTTGTTTTGTTTTAATGGAAGTGCATACAATCTCTATTATAATGAATCTGCAGACTTAAGCAATGGACACTTAAGATCATTCCTGTTCAGGTCCTCAAGGAGAAATATTAATAGCTACAGAGACAGGTTGAGGGTTCAGGTCAATGGTACAGCAGACTTAGTACATGTGAGGCCCTGGATTCAATCTCCAACACCAAAAAAGAATAAACAAAAAGATTCACACATACTGCTGAACGTAGAATGACAGGGTTACTTGAAAGTTGTGAAAATTTGTTATGGAAATATCTACTCTTTGTGAAATTGGTTATTGCAATAACAGCAATGGTTTCATCTTGATTTATTTTTATTTGTTTTCGAAGAAACACTTTTATACCACATAGTATTTTAGGCTAAGAGTAACTAATTGTTTATAATCCAGAAATGTAAGTAAAGAAATAAAGATTTTGATTACTCAGGATTGTAATAAATTTCAGGTCAAGATGAAAATTACTTTTTAAACTCATTAGCAGTAAAATAGGCAGGATTATATCAAAGGTTTTTTTTTTTCCTTCTAATTGTAACATGATGTTTTCATTAGAGGTGAAAATTTCTGGTAAAGAAACTTCACTTACAGATATTTGAGTTGAAGGGGTGGAAATGCGGTTTTAAATTCTGAAATGTTATTGTTGCTCAGATCCAAAGTTTCAAGGGATTGAAACTGTTTTAGATGTTCTGGTAGTATCTCAGCAATCCTGTTGCCAGCCCTGAAATTAAAAGGCATCACAGATAACAGGTTTTATGTTACAACAAACTGAAAGGAGAAAAATATTTTGTATTTCTAACTTGTTCTGCAGAAATATGAAAAACTGATCTAGATAGTACTTTTAAAAGTTAAACAGTAATACCAAGTCTACTTTAATTTACTTATTGATACATTATGCAAATGTCCAAAAACAGTTCCTGCACAAGTCTGAAATATAATTTAGAAGTGGCTATCTAAATTCTATATGTACTTAAAATCAATTGATGGATTTTAATGTTCTATATTTAATGTTACTTTCTTAACTTTTTATGTTATTATGGCTGGCAGATATGTAGAGACATTTAGTTCTTTTTTTTTTAATGTCTTTAGTGCAGGGTCAACAGGGTCTCACTACACAGTTTGGACTCGTAGTAATCCTCCTGTTTTCAGCCTCCCAAGGGCTAGAATTACAGGCACGCACCACCACACCCAGTCTCAGCTGCCATCTCAGTGCACCCTGGGGGTGGGGCTGGCACAGCATGTGGCGCCAGGGCTTGAACCCTGGTCCCTGCACTTGCCTAAGCTGGTGTCAGCTATCTGTCTGACGCATATATATATATATATATATATATATATATATATATATAGAGAGAGAGAGAGAGAGAGAGAGAGAGAGAGATTTAGTGAACTCAAGTGTATCAGTCTTTCTGTTTTGTTTGTCTTACTTTTAGTACTGGGAACTGAACACAGAACCTCACGCTTGCCAGGCAGGTACTATGCCACTGAGTATATCCCTGCCCTTTAGTGCTTTTTATTAAATGGTGAGTGAAATGTCTCGTACCAGACAGACATGCTAGGTACTAATGCATACCAAATTCCTTATTTCTCCTCTTGATTCCTAATCTAATTCTTCTTTTGAAAACCACTCTATGGGGCTGGGGAGATAGCTCAGTAGAATAAGCGCTTCCCCGGCAAGCGTAAGGGCCTGAGTTCAATTCCCGGTTCCGAAGGAAAAAAAAAAGAAAGAAAACCACTCAAACCACACTTTAAATACTCATCAGACTGGGCTTTTTTAGGGCCATCCTCCAGGGAGATCATGTTTTGTTTTAGCAATAGTAATATTCAATGCATTGCCCGAGATCAGTCATGAAGTTCCAGGGCCTTCGTATTTTAAAAGCATTACACAAGAGCATTCCAACCTAAATTATCCCTGGGCAGAGCTCAATTAAAACACATGAGCATTAACAATCCTAAACTACATGCCAGTTACTAGCACATGTGGCTCTTTAAAATGTAAAGTAATTGTTAGGATTCAGTTCTACAGTTGTGGTACTCCCATTTCAAGAGCCAGACAGCCTATTACACCTGGTAGCTATCAAATGGAACGCAGCACACATAGAATATTTCCACTATCATGGACAGTATTGCTGGCAAGTACTGCTCGACTTAGGAGGTGGGAATGCAGCAGGAAATAAAAAGAAGCCAGCTCAAAACTCTTAATAGGTCTGCAATACTATAGCGCTCAGGGGGAAATTCGACATTAAGTGACAGTTTTGTTAGAAAACAGTAATCAGAGATACAAGCCATCTCAATTGTCACATTAGATCCAATAGCTTGATCTTTTTAGCCAATCATTTGGAGGGGAAAATAACACAGCAAAGTAGAAAAACTAAGAAGGCATCAGATCTCACCTACGAATCATGAAAACATTGTCTCTTTCCATGACAAGGAACAATGAGGCAACCCGAATGTTAGAAGCACTCATCATACAAAAGTCACATGCCAGTGTTTCTCACTTAGTAAGAAAACTTGGAATGCATATCTCATGCGTATTTCTCTTATCCTGAGAATGTATGTCATATGTGCATCTCTCTTACTAAAATCTGGATTTCTACAGTTCTTTGAATTTATTAAGATCTTTGGCTTAGGTCAGCCTCTAACCACTTAGGTCAGTCTCTAACCACATCAGGAGGTTCCAGAGAGATTCACAGATCCTCGCATGCACACAGCTGGGCTTCTGTGCCACACTGCAAGCTTCCTGGGAGCAGGGAATCTTGGAATGTGCGGGCAACCTAGCACCTCTGAGCACATCTTAGGCACTGAGCCCTGCATTTTTCATGCATTATGCCACTTAATCATAAAATAATTCTTCAGATATAAACATGATAGCTACTTTTACAATTAGGAAACTAGGGCTTCTCATGTAACAAGTCTAAGCACTTCTGAGTCACTTCATAGAATAGGTCTGGACTGGTACCAAACCAATCACGGAAGGCTGTGTTTTGCAGAATACACAGTATCAAAGATATCTTGATAATTACATTCTTACTGGAGATGCACTGCCAAAAGTTCTGATACTTCTCATTTGGCAAAAATGCTGAATTTCTGGTCTCAAACTGATGAGACCTACTCGAGCTTGTTGAACAATCAGTATGCCAACCCTTAAGAAAGTCCTAGAACAGGGCCCCTCGCATTCAGTGCTTGTACCCTACATAGGCCAGAGAGGTCCTCAGGAATTCATGTGGGCTCAGCTCTCAGCAGAGTTATGAGGTTCATTTCCTGAGCATGTGCAGATGGCAGGTGCTGTTTCCTCCACAGAAAGAACAGCAACCAAGAGAAAATGGGCCGCACAGTTTATATTTTAAAAACTAATAAAACTACTCAACATAGTGTTCAAACTCACCAAGTATCATTCATAAAAACTCCAGGCATAATTTTCTTATCTTTAAAATCTAAGCGATTGGATAACTGAACCCAATTTTTAAAAATCATCCTGTTCCAGATAGCAAGAATATATAGTGTATGTCTTAGGAGCCATGTTTTATGGTAACCATCAACACACAAAAGGAAAAGGATAAGCAATCCTATTTACAAGTACCTATATCATCAAACCTTTCATTATCCTGCAAAATCTTACAGGGTTTGCTTACACTCAAGTTAGCCTTGACCTCTGATTGGGCTTTCACAATGTATAAACTCGTTGACCTGTGAGGTTCGGGATAATGCAAGTGAGACAATTAGTCACATTCTAGGTCCCAGCGATGGATTCAGTCCAAGAGACAAGCCTCAAGGCCTCAGGGTCAGGGTGTGCAAATTAAACAAACCACACAAGGAGGGGGTGTCAGAAAGTTTCCTGTAAATACACAACCCAACATTTGCACTACTAGGATTTCTTCCCACAAACTGAAGTAAGCTCGAGTGTCCAAAAGCCTCCCTTTCCCCAGGTCCTACCCTATCCCTCCTCATAGCCTCCTTCCAACTCTGCATGAGCTTTTGGCCCTCAGGCTGCCCAGGGCTAGTAAAGCTACTCTCACACAGCATTTAACAACAACAGAAAGAAAATCTTCAGCTATAGAGTTTTGCAATAAATGGTACAATTGCTGTTCTGGAAGAGAGACTAGCACGGGTATCTATTCTGCTGGTCAAACAAGGCTACAGGAGAGATAAAAGACTATACAATCTTTGGTTTATATATTCACTTGTTTATAAGATAATTATGAACAAGGTATTAAAACTGCCAATTACTTGACTGATGAATAAAATGTTCCTTGCAGTAAAAGTTTGCTCCAGCCCAAGCCAGCAATTTCCTGAGCTGCACACCTCCTAAATTGCAGCGGGAAAGTACTCAGTTATAGGCGCAGTGCGCACAGTGCAGTCTTTGTCAGCTTTGCTGCCCAGCACAAAAATCCCTTACAACTGGCAGGAGAACAGCCCCTGTATCGCAAAAATTTAAATTTGTCCTAAAGGAACTGAATTAAGTCCAAATGTCAGCTTCTTATGAGCTCTTAGCCAAACTGGCAATAACCACCTGATACACACCAGTTTAAAACCAAACCAAAAATGAAACAACTTGCTTCAGATCGTGAAAAGAGTTTTTAAAAAGGGAGGCAACCACATGTTAAAAACTAGATTAGAAATCCCTTTTATCATCTGAAACTCTCACTAAATGAATTTCAGAGAGTGGATCACAAATAGCCACTTCTAGAAGACAAAGATTCAATTCAGCCCCAGCTTTCATTTTTCTCCAAATATGGATAATTGCCAAAACGGATCAAAACATTACAAGGCACTGCAGTTAATACTTTGGCAAGCACTGTGAAATACTCGAATAAAAACAAAACTGTGAATACCTTTTTCCATTAATTATTGGAAATGCCATATTTCCATTGTTCAAAAATTATATCATGGTTTAGGACATACTAGAAGGTCCCATGAAAATGCATCTTAGAGACTATTTTGTCTATGTTGATGGTACAGGGAGTTCTAGGGTCAAATCACTGCTGAGGTGAAGTATAATTAGCCCCCTTTGGACTAAAAGACCTGAGGGCATGGTTGGTGGGAAGCACACACAGTTCCCTTGGGTATATAAGAGCCCACAGGAAAAAAAGAAGTCCCATGCATGTTAGCCTTGGCTTCTTAGGTGCAGCAATCATGCTCCATTTTGTTGCCAATTCTGCCTTTCAGACAACTTTACCAAAATCCAAAGACAAACACAGCTTACCATTTTCCTTTGATGATGTGTACCCTGAGTGTTGGAGAGGGATCCCACTATGTGGAAGACGGAGATGCCCCTGGCCTTATGGAGCCTGAAGTCTTGTGGTGAGAACAGCCACCCAACAGGAGAGGTCAACAGTGTGGCAAGTACTAGGAGAAAGAAGGAAGAGAGAGCAGAGGAAGTTGAAAGGAGAGATTCAAGAGAGGTGGAGGAGGAGGACCGCAGGTGAGAAAGCAAAATGGCCCACAGGAAGGATGACTGCACTAAGGCCTGGGGACGAGGCAGAGGGAAGGCTAGTGTTGTCCAAGCAGGAATGAATGCATGCACGAAGACTTGCGCAAGTGAGAGCAGAGCAGGGAAAGAATAGTGCCTTGATGGCTGGAGTATGGGATGCATGGGTAGAGATGAGAAAATCATGAAACTCAAGTGTAAGGTGGCTAAGAATAGATTAGGTCAGAGACCAGGAAGCCACGTTAAGTCATTTAACTTTTATCTAAAGATCCACTGTGCAGAGGGCCCCGAGGATT